ATTTTTTTTAAGTAAGAACAGTGTGGAAACTAATGCAGTAGGATTCTGAAGCTTACACCTGGAAACCTGTTAATTTGATAAGAACACAAAAGTCCAGACTCATGATAAAACTGCAGCACCATTGGGCAGGCATGTACAAGATTTTTTAGTGAGGACAAAGCTGTATTATTTTCCAAACAAAGCATTCTGGAGACTTGCTCATGATTTTGCATTTTATTACACAGTAAAATATTTAATGAGTGTATATTTAATTCCAGTGTCTATTAAATCCTGTCCAAGAGCTGTGCATTTTCTAACAATACAACAGTAAAGCAAAAGTAGTATTTTATAGCTAGAATGATCTATCAGTTCAGTGTTACATAACATGTTATGATGGGATGGCCAGATGAAATCCTGTAAAAACTGCATTTTGACTATGTTGGATGTGAAGTGCTCTCTCTCTGATGTGTCAGTATTGCAGATTTTCATTAGTGCTGAAAACAGCAAGTACTTCTTGTGCTCATCCAAAACAGTTCCCTAGGTTCAAGCAGCATAAAGTCCAAAAATAGAGACGCTTCCTAAATAACCTATATTTGGATGACTTTGGTTTGATTATGTGACCCTGAGGACACCACAATACATCTTCCCTCCCTCTGCTTCTGCCTACAAGTAGCATCCTTTTTACAGATAAGGAGCAAAGGATTCTTTTTTGCTGCAAGGAGCACAGCAAGGACACTTGGGAGCACACCAACAGAAATGCTGACCCAGAGTTGCACTGGATGTAGAGAAAATGGCTGGTTTGTCTTGGGAGATCACAAAATATTGCCAGATTACAGTTCTAACCCATCTTCATGGGGCTACAAATTTATATTGTCTGTTATTTTGGGTATGTCTGAAAACAGTGTGGTGTATGGGTGAGTTCAGGGAAAAAAGGGAGAGGAGAAAGATAGGCAACAAATCAGTTTCCTCCAAGGCTTATCATTTCTCTAAGCCTTTCTTTACCGTGACTCCACACAAACAGTGACACAGACCAAGCTCGCTTCCCCTCCTTCGCCTGACAATAAAAGCGAGCAACACAGCAAGGTGGTGACACCCATTTCTAAAGAGAAAGTGCTCTTGATTTATAGGTGACTTAATAAGAAATTGCCTAGCATAAAGTGGATTTCCTATTCTATTGTCTTAGGGAGTAATTGGATCTGCTGTTTACAAACCAAGGAGTAAAAGCACCTTTCCAGTCACATTACCGCAGCAACCCCTTCACAAGGCTACACACCTCACCCCTTCCAAGGGGATAGACCGCCCTGCGCCTCCCTTCTCCCTTCCCTCACTATCCTGCCCGCTCCCTCGCGGCAGGGAGCAAGGAAAAGCCGCCGGGAGGCCCGGGCCCGGAGGCGGCGGGGCCCGCGCCCGCACACCCGCCGCACCCCCGGACCCGCCAGCGACCTCTCAGGGGCTGCTGCCCGACGGCGGCCAGCTGAGCCCCGCGGCCACAGCGGGACATCGCGGCCCCGCCCGCCATCGGCACCCGGCAGGATGGAGCAGAGCCCGGCCGGCCCCGCTCCCCGCAGCGGCGGGCCCCGATCTCTGCCCGCCGCCGACCGTGACCTTGCGGAAGGAAGGGCTCGCCGCTCCCGAGCATCCCCGCCGCGCGCGGCCGGACGGCTGCGGCGGAGCCCGGGGCGGGCGGGGATGCCCCGCCGGCAGCTGTCCGGGTGCGGGTCACTGCAGGCAGCGCCGCCGGCTGCGCTCCCAGCCCGACTCACGCATAGCGGCGGTGGGGCAGGCTCCGCTTCTGACATGTGCACGCACCCCGCCGCCTGCGGCACCGGCACCGGCACCGGCACCGGCACCGCCCGCCCGGCCAGGCCGCCCCGCTCACCTGCGCCGCCGCCGCCACCGCCGCTCTGCCCGCCCCGCCAGTTCCGCATCGAGCGCCAGGAGCGGGACGCGCCACCGCGGCCCGCGGGGGGCAGAGAGGGCGGGGCGGAGCGAACCACTAGTCCTCATGGCGGGGGGAGCCGCCTCGCCAGCCTCCCGCAGGGGGCGCTGCGGCCTCTGAGCGGCAGCCGGCGGGAGGGAGGCGGGATGTGGGGGTGGGAAACAGCTCCCCAGAGCAGGCTGCCTGAGGAGAATGGGGAACCCTTCAGCTTGTACTTTCACCCTCTGTATTGAGCTACTTACCCGCTGATTTGCTACAGGCTTCATGAGATTACAAGAGAATTTGGTTATTAAAAGCTTGAGATACAGCTTTTTTAATTCCTTCCAAGCTCCCATAAACCACTGCGCAACCAAATCCGTTTATTAACAAAACAAAAATTACCAAAATAAACTCAAAATGCAACCACAAGCACCGCAAGTAACCGAAGAGTTTAAAATATTTTTATATATGAGGTGTAAAATGGTGAAATAGTTGATTTGATATTCACAGAATCACCAAATATGCTGAGCTGGAAAGGATCCACAAGGATCATTGAGTCCCCACACAGGACATGCCCAAGAATCGTACCATGCGCCCAAGAGTATTGTCCAAATGTTTCTTGAACTCTGTCAGGCTTGGTGCTGTGACCACTTCCCTGGGGAGCCTGTTGCAGCACCCAACCATTCTTTGGGTGAAGAACCTTTTTCTGATATTCAACCTGAACCTCCCCTGACACAACTTCAGGCCATTCTCTTGCATCCTGTCACTGGTTACCACAGAGAAGTACCTGACCCTCCACTTCCCCTCAAGAGAAAGTTGTAGACTGCTATGAGATCTCCCCTGTTTCCTCTTCTCCAGGCTGAACAGACCAAGTGACCACAGCCGCTCCTCATATGACTTGCCCTCAAGGCCCATCATCATCTTTGTTGCTCTCCTTTGAACGCTCTCTAATAGCTTAATATCTTCCTTATATTGACCAAAACTGCACACAGCATTCAAGGTGAGGCCACACCAGTAAAACAGGACAATCACCTCCCTTGACCACCTAGCAATGCTTTGTGTGATGCACCCCTGGACTTTTCAAACTGCAGAGGAATTGGGTTTTCAGAAATACCCCCATTTTTTCTCCCTCCGCATTGATCTGAACCAATCATGAGCAAACATAGCCAACAGAGAACACTTCCCAAGATTGTAATTCAAGCACCCCATGATTTTTACAGTGGCCAAATCAGCAAAATTAATTTGAAACAAATTGGGTATAGAGACTTACAGCAGCAGGACTCACTCTCAAGCCTAGATAGCATTTTGCAAATATAAAAGTACAAAGGGTCACTGATCTCAAGGAAGGTTTCTTCCACCACACCTTACCTGAGCTTACTTGAGCTCCATGGGCTAACCAGGAAAGCTTCTATAAAACAAAAATTCTGTACTAATCTGCACTTTCAAAAAAATGGGAATGTGAAGATGTAAATGAGGAGCTTATATTTGACTAGATGATAATGAAAAGGGAAGCACAAGGCGGAGTGTGCTGGTTTTGGCTGGGGTAGAGTTAATTTTCTTCACAGTGGCTACTATGGGGCTGTGTTTTGGATTTGTACTGAACATACTGATGATAATATAGAAATGTTTTTGTTATTGCTGAGCAGTGCTCACACAGATCCAAGGCCTTTTCTGCTTCTCATACTGCTACGCTGGCAAGGAATTTGAGGGTGCATGAGAGGTTGGGAGGAGATACAGCAGGGACAGCTGACCCCAACTGACCAAAGAGATATTCCATACCGTATGACATTATGCTCAGCCTATAAAGCAGGGGAGAAGGAGGAAGATTGGAGTGATGGCATTTGTCTTCCCAAGTAACTGTTGTTCATGATGGATCTCCGCTTTCCTGGAGATGGCTGAACGCCTGCCTGCCCAAAAGCAGTGAATGAATTCCTTATTTTGCTTTGCTTGTGTGTGCAGCTTTTGCTTTCCCTATTAAACTCTCTGTATGTCAACTCATGAATTTTCTACTTTTTACCCTTTAATTCTCTCCCTGATCCCACTGGTGGGAGAGTAAGCAAGTGGCTGTGTGGGGCTTGGTGGCTGGCTGGGGTTAAATTGAGAGAGCCAAGGAAAATCACTGTTTTCACCAATGCCACACACAGCAAATGTTATAGATTGTACCTTGAAAATCCCTCAAATTTATATGCAGGTTTTCTCTTCAAATTAAGGAGATGCAGCTCAAAATAAAGAAACTGAAGCTAGAAATGAAGCTGCAGCTTCATTGCCATTGCCTGTTCTGACTGTTGACAGACTCATTGTTTAGCAATCCCTTAAGCAGGGCCCAGCCATCCTCTAGTCCACCCAGGGCTGACTTGAGCATTCGAGCTCTGCTCATTACTCCCCATCTCCTACCTCAGTGCAGTTTCCTATAAGCCTACTCCTTCTTCCTCTGGTTTAGTAGATTTCAATTTAAATTTTAGAGTAACTCAGGGGCTTCAGCAGAATAGCCTGTGGTGTGGGGAGTTGCTGAGTTGACGGTCGCTTTTCTTTCCCATTGTGACAGAGGATCAAGCACTTCGGAAGCAGCTAATGCTGGACAGCTCTCTGCTTTCCCATCCTACCACTCCCTTCGAGGTAATGCATATGGACAAGTATTCTGGTTGATTCTCCTCTGAGTACATCAGAAGGTCTCAGTATATGAGGTATCAGCTAGGGTCCATCTGAAAATCCACTTGACAGCCAGGGGCACGCTGGACTCCCATTTCAGTTTTGACAAGCCATGATATGCAGAAAATGGAGTACAGCACATGGAATAAAACGGTTACATTCTGAATGTAGCTGTACATACCAAGATGAAGGATGTTTGTATAATTCATGGTCTTCATGATATGCACTTAATCCACTTCACATATTTGCCAGGTCTGCAATACAGCAAGGTGGATATCAAGCTAAAAATCTCATCCTAGAGGCCAAAATAAACTGCCTGGGGTTGCACTGCTATTTCTTTTTCACCACTTCTTGCTTCTCTCCAATGTTCTTATCAGCTTTAAGCTTGTTACAGCAAGAACTTATTCCACCCTCCTCCGAGCTAATGACAGCACATCAGAGAATGTCAAAATCCTGTATTAGGCTTTATTCTTTTATATAAACATTAACATTTCTCAAACAGATTAGTTAAAAATACAGATTTAAACAAGAATTTTTGCAATTGCAATGAGTTATAAAAAACAACAGATTATTTTACAGATTGTTACAAGTGCTTTACAAAGGTGCAGAGTGAAGGCCAGTGGCAGGGGACCAACCTCAAGTGCAAAATGGACACGATACCCTCACCACGGGCATAGCGCTCAGATACACAGCCAAAAAAAACAACAACAAACAAACCAAAAAAGACAAACAAAAAAAACCCCGAGCCATGTGAACCTATGCTCTTGGGATGCTCACTGGGCAAGCAAACATAGACCCCTATGACAGAGAAGACTCATGAGACCAAGCTACCGGGATACTTAAGGTTACATCTCTGAGATCAGCCATAAGATGATGTTTCTTGGAAAGTAAGGAACATGTTTTACAACAGTATATTTCTCTTCTGTCAGACAAAATATTGCTGTAAATTCTAGAATACTTATGAATGTGGATACTTAAAAACCTGGGGCATAATCCAGTGTGGATCTCACAATGCCCGAAGTGAAGAAAGGATACAAGACCCAAGTGTCCTTCTAAAGCAGTTGGCACTCCTCACACAAGGAGGGACCTCCATATCCCATTATCATCTCTAAAACCTTGGAAAGACTTTGGCAAAAGGAAGACAACGCAAGTGGATCTGATTACACGCAATATTCCTGCAGCCCATGATGTGAGAGTTGTGCAGCCCATAGCTTATGCAATGCCCACATATTTCACTAAATGCAGTGTGTCCTCTCTCCTTGGCCAATACATCTTCACACCCACCTTGGAATACATACCACATGCTTCAGATTCTTGGAAGTTTTTGAGATCCTTCCACCACACCTACCTCACCTAGGTACCAGTCCTTCCCACCTATCTTTCTTCTATTCCACTCCTAAAGATAAAATCTATGCCCTGATCTGTTTTGAACTAAAGTTTTCCAGCTGTTAGCAAATCAAAGGTAAATTGAAGTGTCTGAGAACCACGAGATAAAACTGTGATGTGTTATATTTAAAAAAAGTCCACTACTTTATGCCTGACATCTTTTTGATGTACGAACATTCCCTACCCAGAGAATCTCCCTGTTAGACAAAGGGCACTACATATTAGAGGAATCCTTTTTCCAAAGGAGGGCCAGAATAAAGGGCAGCTCTAGAGATGAAGTCTCATAATAAAGAAATAAAAGCTACTTCTCTTGGAATCATTGTAGAGGGCAGCACATTCAAGAGATTTTATTTATAGGAAACCCAGTGAAACCCATAGAACATCCACACTGACTTCCCTGAGCTCCTCAGATCCAGGTACACTGGGGACCCTGCAGAAGCCTTTCGAGCTGGGTTACTCTCAATAGAGAGCTTTTGGCAAGTTCCTGCAAATTCATTTTCATAATCAGTGAGAAGAGGATCAAAGGGCAAACCTTCAGCATATGCTTAGAGAAGAGAAAGACTCTGAAGAAAGAGGACTTGGGGGGCAGGGGGAAAGGTCTTCATTTCTACCGTTTTCGAATGTTTCACGTTATTCCTTTGGGGTATGGGCACTGCATCAAAACCAACCCCTCCATCTGATCTACCCCAGCTGCCTCCTGCATATCTCACGACAACATTGAAACCCCGGGCTCATCACTCCCTGCATGCCTAGCCCAGGGTTCAGTGCTTTGGAGAGGAGAGGCTGGCTTCTCATTAGCAAAGGCCGGGAGATGGCGTTATGTCAGCGCGTCAGCATTCTGGGAGCATGCGGTCACTCATGCACATCCCAGATTTCTGAGAGCAGAGGAGGGAGTTTCTTGTCCTGCAGCCGAAGGGCAAACACCTGTTCAGAGTGGACACTGCTTAGTGTCCGAAGACTGACCAGCTTCATTAACATCCGTGGAAACATCAGGCGGTCCTGCAGAGTCAGACAAATAGACAGCTGTTAGTAAATTCACACTAAAACTTTAAAAAAGAAAAAAAATACCACAACAGATGATGTATTGTAATGACAATCCTGACTTCCTCTAAACTCAGCATTCACCAGGAGGCTTCAGTGTGGAGGAACACAAATAGTACACCATGTTCCAAAACTCCAGACTTTCCGTGCTGGCTAAACTATGGAACATGATAGAGGACAGCAGGCTGTGACAGCTCACAAGTCCTGCACGTCCAGCTGCTATCAAAGTGCCACAGAAGGGACAAGTATGACAGCACAGGCAGCAAGAGACCTGTTACAAACAGTACCGCAGGAACTGTGTCTGCATAAACACAAAATCAGCTCTCATCATTGCTGGAGATGTTCTGGTCAGGCACTTACATTTGGTCTGTTGATACAAATGTAAGAATGAAGGGCTTCCACATAGGTGTGCTGCAGCCTCTCCACCAAGGACTGGTCCTGCACATTCGGTCGGTCTGCCAAAAAGCAGGTTAGAAGTAAGGAGATTGCCACAGGCAGCTTCACTGGACTTAACATCCCTGCCTAACCCTATTCCCTCATATGGTCTCTTTCCAAAACCTCACTAGCATTCCCCCAGCACAGCTGGGAGGTATATCCATGATTGTAGCAGCTATGTCAATTGTCTGTGACTGTTCTTTCTCAGTGATGTCTCCTGCACATGGGGTATGCAATCTGACTCCTACAGAGGTGGAAGGTTAGAGACCAAACACACTTACATAGTACCGTTTGGTCTCACATTCCTGTCACAGAAGAAACGAGAAGCTGTCTACTCAAGAGTGATTGAGAAAGTCTCTGCAGCAGGTGAGCCGGTTAGAAAACAAGAACAAAGAAAAAAAGTACGCAATAATTCAGGTCACAAGACAGAAGAATGGAAGTGGCTTCTTGGCAAAGCTCTGTTCTGGCCCAGAGCAATACTGTCTCATGTCCAGGGTATTTTCACTTGCCCACTAGATGTCACTCATGCTGTGGGACCTGCATCACACCAGAGAGGTGCCAAGGACATTAAGGGGACAATTAAATAGCAATCTCTAAACAAGGAAGACAAATACTGGCCCATTTTTCTATACACTTTTTCAGTAGTTGGGGAATTTGCTTTCTTCTGGAAGCGGCACTATAGAATTCAGAATATAACGAATAACATGCTCCCTTTATCACTGAACTCTATACACCCTCTATTATTCTTCTTCTGCTTGTGACGTTCCTTAACTCTACTTTCTTTGCCCTCTGACTCACTACTGCAGCTCCTCAGACCTCCCTGGCTTTTTACCTGCAGAGAAAATGTTGATGGCGATTAAAAGTGCATATTCAGCATCGTTAAGCTGTAGCTCATTCATTCCCTTTGAGAACTCAAAGATGGGGTTAATGAACTCAAACTGCAGACCTGAAACGAACAGAAGAGAACAAGGTGAAGCAGTAACAATTGTCTCCTTCCTCTCATGGAATAAGCTGCAAGAAACCCACTGCAGTACATCAGGGGGTGGGGAAGACAGGCAGGCAGGGAAAAACCCTTACATTATGTTCCAATGAAACTTCCCTTTAAATCCACTACTAGTGAACACCAACAACAGTGGCTGAGGAGTGGGGTTCTAGGTTTTCCTAGAGCCTTAAATGCCCCACAGCACATCACTGGGCAACAGCTAAAGGAACACATCATTTATCAGATAAGTCCATCAAAAAGTCAGAAAGCTACAAGTACAATATCTGCACTTTCAACTCTGACACCATCACCTCCTTCACATCCAGTAGCTCTCGTGCTTTCAGCAAAAGCTTTAATACCGTGATCCAGATTCATCTGAAGTCTGTCTGAGCTGAAAACATACAGTTCCAAGAACTCTGAACTATGCCATTTCCTTCATCTCAAAAAGCTGGGAGAGCTGAGGCAGAGCCTGACTGAGGCTTCCAACTACCTCCTTTGAAACATGCAGTCAGGCAGAAATGCAGTGATATTTATTGCCATTACATATAGAGACCACTGTCAAATCAAGTCTTTTTGTGCTATGTAATCATGCTGAAAACTTCAGGCCTCTCCTCCAAAATAGCATCCAAGTTTCTCATTTCCTGCAGTACAACTGCATCAGAAAAGGAGAAACAAAATGGAGGGAATCTTTCTGGCTGCCTACTATTTGCCTTCCTAATAACCTGAAAAAAAGGCTACCAGGAAGAGTGTTGAAAAGGAAAGTTGTATATAAAAGCCATCCCAAGTATAAATGGTTAAAGAGCTACTCAAAGAATAATTAAAAAAAAATAAATCACATGAAGGACAGCTAATGTCTTGCTTTTTTAAAAATGTTGAAGGTACATACTTCCTGTTACTTCATCTGAAATTACAGACACTCATAGCTCCTGAAAAAACAGACTTCAGAAATCACGCCACCACAGACCAACATATACTGGGACGATAAAACATCTAAAGCAATGTGTGGGGACCTTCCATGCACGGAGTGCATGTAATCACATTAATGTCCTTACTCGAGGTGTGTATCCGGATTAGCAAGTGATACACTTGCAAAGGAGAAAAGACTGTGGTTTGAATTGCTATGATCTGATACAGCTCTATGACCACATCACATCTCTACCACCAAGGAAGTTCACACCAGCTGCTAGCCCTAGGTGGACATTTCCTACTAGATTTTCATCCTTTAAGAGTCTAAATTTTCCCAAACAAGTTCACATCTGGAAAAAGACATGAACTGAACTGGTAGACCCATATTAAAAGCAAAAAATATATGGCTTTTGAGGCTATTGGTCTGGTCCTCTTCTAAGCTTCTCATCTGACCCCACATACTATTTCCAGCAGTCCACATTAAAAAGGAAAATATGTAAGAACACAAGACACAGGGAAGGAAGAAACACCTGTCTAATGCACCACCTGCTTTGGCGAAGTCATCCCGATTATAGCTCAGGTCCTTAAGAAAGGTGATGCTCTCAATCTCTGGATTATAGCGCCGAGATGTCTCCAGCAACATCACCTGAAACCAGAAATGGATATACTTGATTTGAAAATAGGAAAAAACGTTACAACATCAATAATTCGTTGAATGTTGGAGCATCTCTGAAAAAAAAAACAAAAAAAAAACCCAAACAAAAACTCTCCAGTTTCTCTCAAGAGTGCTTAAAAATTCCAAGATAAATTCTGCTGCATCCTTTGTGGTGTCTGCTTCCAGGAAAGGGGAAGTTCCTGCTTATCACTACCAAGGCACTTGTCTCATTCTCCTCCATGACCCTTTGCCAGTATAACCTAGCACTGCAGTAATGGTCCCATAGCTGAGATCCTTCAGTCCACCATCCCAAAAAAAGGGATGGAACTAGTTCTCCATGTGGGTAACTCCAAATTCTTTCATCTCTGCTACTATGTATTGTGGTGGAGCCAAACTCTCACCTCTATTGTAGATGTCTTCAATAAAGCAATCTGATCTTCCCTGGTGAGCTCCAGGAAGCCAGGTAGTTGCTTGGCAAAGTCCACAATCTCTTGCACAGAGATAATTGCAAGTTCTGTAAAGTGAGCAAAACGCTGCTGCCTCGCTTCACGGTTATTAGGGTCAGGAATCTGGGGCCACGGCTGTGGGAATGAGAAGAGACAGCATATATATATATATAGATTATACAGAGACACAGAGAGAGCGAGAGAGAGAGATGTATGTGAGAGATTAAGCCGGGACAGAAAGATGAAAAGATGAAATGAACAATGAAAGAAAATGAACCAACATCAGAACATCATCTTTTGCTATTCTTTACAGAGCTTTAGTCCACAGAGGAAACGCCTGAAGTACGTCTGTTCTCCCAAATATTTCACCCCAAACCCAACTCCCCAAACTTCAATTTTTCTTAGTTTTTTGTAAGCTTGTAGATTTTTTACCGTCACTTTGAGTCTGTCTGTGAATGAGCGCTGGTTGCACTGCTGCTGAGCGGCCACAAGCTTTTTTATCATGTTCAGCTGTTCCGGCGTTAGTTTGTGGGAAGGGCTTGGCGGATTCGGAGGGTTTGGACGCACCACAACTGTCCGAGCCTGATCGTCTTCCTGCTTCTTCAGTTTCTTCAGTCGGATCTGTTCTTCAGACAGAACATCTAAAGCAGGAATAGCCTGTGATCAATCGTAGAAGCATACTGGAAACTACACTAAACACAGGGTAATGTGCTGTGGATGGAAAGTGGAGATCACAGCTGCCTGTATCTGGCATAGCAGAGTGTACACAACACAGCAGACAGTGATAATGTCATTTGTTTCTCCCTCTATTCCCGCTTTAAGTTGTTCCATTACCTTTCTTCTAATCATACCGTCATGCAAAGTGTTCACAAAGGGCAGAAGCTCCTTTCACGATGCCCTGCAGATCTCAGAAAAACAACAGTGACTTTCCCCATTGAGCAATTCCCTAAAATGTCATGTTATAACAGATACCAACAAGTGCTCCTTTAACATGCCATGGTGCGTCCACTGTATTTCCTACTATTCTGCTGTTATGCCTTATTCCAACATTGTTAATTTAACAGTTTGTGCATTTCATCTTCCTCTTCAGAGGTCAGAGCCATTCCTGGATGGATTTTGAGAGTGAAAGGATAATTTGCTACACAGGCCATCTGCAGCAAACTGTAGAGCAGTAACATGGTGCAAGATGAAGAGTGAAAGAAAAGCTTTGCATAAAACGTACTGAGGACCAACCACAGGTCCTTCAGGAATAGGGCTAGAAGTCTTCTTCAGTTGTTAAATCAAAGGAGATGTCATTTGGATGTAATATGGTAAGGAACTGAACAAATCGGAGGCATCTGATTTATGGGGGGCTAATGGGGTCCATCTGTCAGAGAAGGGGAAGCACATCTTCACTCATAGGCTTGCCAGCCTGTGAAGAGGGATTTGAACTAAAGTTGTCCAGGGAAGTGACATTATAGAGGGGGTCTGTTACAAGGTCACCTGACCAGAAAACTGAGTGGAGCAGGCCCTCTATAGACAGACAGGAATGGCCTCACATTCACAAGCCCTGGTCTTGTTGGGAGATTTCAACCACCCCAATATCTGTTGGAGAGATAACGCAGCAGCAAATAAGCAATCCAGGAGGTTCCTCTAATGTGTTAATGATAACTGCCTTCTCCAAGTGATAGAGGAGCCAATGAGCAGAGGTGCTGTGATGGACCTTGCTCTCACCAAGGAGGGCCTGCTGGAGAATATGAAGCTCAAGGGCAGCCTGGACTGCAGTGATCATGAAATGATGAATTTCAAGACCCTTGGAGTAACGAGGAGGGAGCACAGCAAGCTCACTGGCCTGGATTTCAGGAGAGCAGACTCTGGACTCTTCAAGGATCTGCTCAGTAAAGTACTACAGGATAAAATGCTGAAGGAAAGAGAAAGCCCAAGAAAGCTGTTTTTAATATTTAAGGAGCACCTCCTCCAAGCTCAGGAGCAATGCATCTCTAAACTGGAATGGCATGGATTTAACAGATGGATCAGAGATTGGTGGATAAGAGATCGGATGGTGGTTAAGAGATTGGCTGGATGGCTGCATTCAAAGAGTTGTGGTTAGTGGCTCAATGTCCAAGTGGAAAGCAGTAGCATTCCAAGATGAGTGGCATTCCTCAGGGTTGGTACTGGGACCGGCACTGTGTCATGCCGTACTGGGAATGTCTGTGTCAGTGACACGGACAGTGGGACTGAGCACACCCTCAGCAAGTTTGCCAACGACACCAAGCTGTGTGGTTGTGGTTTACAAGCTGGAGGGAAGGGATGCCATCCAGAGGGACCTTGACAGGCTTGCAAGGTGGGCCTGTCGAACCTCATGAAGTTCAACAAGGACAAGTGCAAGATCCTGCACATGGGTCAGGGCAAGCCCAAGCACAAATGGAGGCAGGGCAGAGACTGGACTGAAAGCAGCCCTAAGAAGGACTGAGGGTGATTCTGTGAACTGAAGAATTCACTGATGTGAATGTAGAGAAGGTCTGTTGTTTCTTTAAGCCAAAGCTGCAAAAACTATCTGAAAAAAATCCAAAAAAATAAAAGGAAACTAGCAGATATACCTGGATGCAAGGGTTATCTTCCAGAGAATCATCCTATAAGTTAATGATGAACAACAAGGAGCAGAAAAGGGACTGACTGGGAAAAAACCTCCGCATCTTCAGGAACAAAGATAAATAAACAAAGCTTGACTTACAAACAAGATTTTAAAAATGCTGAAAGATTCTTCGGCCGTTTTTTTATGCACAGGTAACAAAGACACATAGCTGCTATACAGAAAAGCAGGGCCCAAAACTGAACAATTATACACTTACGCTTCTTAAATGAATCATGTTAAACATGAAGACAAGAACTGGAGAATTACTGTGAGAGAGTACTCTGGAATTGGAAGGACAGATAAAGAACATAACACATTCAAGCTGAGAGGGCCCTTTATCCCCGAATTCTAACAGGGAGGATGCATGCACAGGTACATGCACACACAAAATTTACAATTCTAACAGCAAAGACATTCAATACAATTACCAAAATAAGGAGGACCTGTAAGATTAGAGAATGCTACTCACAGTGTTAGTTTAAGAAGACAAGTAATTAATTCAAGTGATTACAGTCCCTCAACTTGGGACTCAGATGCACAAAGGATTTATAACTGGTAACTTGTCACTTGGCTATTACTGAATCTTGAAAACTGCCTTCTGCACCATGCTAAATTCAAAGCAATCTAACTTACTTGGTTTGCCAGGAAGGAACTATTTAACCTCACAGTTCACACTGGCTTAAGAACAATAAACTGGCCATGAATAACTTCAGTCTGGGAATTAGAAGAATGTTTCCAGCAATTACAAGGGGGAAGTTCTGGAATGACCTTCCAAGTGAAACAGCTGGAGGAAAAAGCCCTCCGTTTCTGTCAAAATTAACACGGCAAATTTGCAGTAGGGATTACAGCATTGACAGGAATTGCCAAGCTCTTAATAATAACACTTTTGACCTAATTTTCCTGAGCTGTCTTCAACACAAGACAATGAGTAAATATAGAAACATACTGAGGCTCCCTCTATCTACCTGCAACAAAAGAGAAGCAAAGTGAACAGGCAGTCTTACCACATCACTTTTCAAATATATCTGTTTTGTAGCTCTCAGGAACAGGGGCAAATGAGGTAAACACAGCATATGTAATGCTGATACAAACCAGTGAGACAGATACTGATCTGTTTTGTTTTATGCTGGAAAAACCAAACAGCATGTCTCCTTGGTGTAGCATTATTTTACAAGATGTTTCTGAAATACTCCCTGTTCCTCACTGTTCTGGGTGCTGGATGTCAGAAAAGGAGACTTCACACAGATCTAACATTAATCAAGCATCCATTCAGTCAGTCTTGGCCACCAAAGGGATGAAACTTGGATGCCTTTGCCAAGGAGAGCTGTTCCTGACATGTGAACAGAAACACTGGTGAATATTCAGGAACAACAGCCTTATTACTTGTGTGAGAAAAATAGCAGATTTCACTAAAGGGAGCAATGAGATCAGCTCTTGCACAAACACAGCTGCAGTACTGTGGTGCTGCCCTTGACCTCTGTCACAAGCTCACAGTAGGAGGCAAAGGAAAGTGCCTGTTGTTCAAGGAGCATGGTGACCGATCCTGCAGTCCCGATCACAGGACAGAAGCCTGAGTTTACTGATACACTTCACAGCATCCTGAAGAATGTGCGAGTCCTTCCTCTGCTCTCACAGTCCACGAGTTCTTATAAGGAATAAAGCAAGGCTGCGGCTCTCAGCACACCAGTGGTGTTCCACTAACAGCCTCACCTCCCCATGTGATCCCTGCTAAGCTCTCAGTGACTTCCCACACACATTTCAACACACAGCCTGCATGGCTGTGTCCCCTCCTTCCCAAGCATTCGCACTGCCTCCTGCTTTACACCCATCACCCCCGCAGCCTGCTCCCACACGCCTCCTGTCCCAACACCACCATGCCCCCATGCACCATTTCCTGCACTCACACTGCTCCCTCATGCCTGCTTCCTGGCACTTGCGCAGCCGGCACTCCTGGCACTTGCGACGCATGTACATGTCCATCTCGCACTTGCCACCGTTCTTGCAGAGGTACTGTGCTCCCTTGATGACGCTGCGGCGGAAGAAGCCCTTGCAGCCTTCACAGCTCAGCACGTTGTAGTGGAAGCCAGAGGCCTTGTCCCCACACACACTGCACACTTCGTTTCCCAGCATCTTAGGGGCTGGGCCCTTCTTCCGCTTCAAGGGGGGATTTTCTACTGAAATGAACAGTACCCAGGGGAAAAAAAAACAACAAAACAAAACAAAACAAAAAAACCCACACATGAAGGAAGCATGTTTGCAGCTGACCACCACATTCCTTAAAATAACCAGTATCCTCACTCAAACCCACCATCTCCCAAACACATGGATGAAAAGATCCTGTTTCACACACTCCCCTTCTAGACAGGCATATCTTCTGCAACAAACTAACTACTGACATAATCCCCAAGGTTTCACCTCAAATATATAAACAAATACAGCTTCACACTTGCTCCTCTCCAAAACAGAGTGGAAGAGCCAAAACATGTTCAGGCCAGATGCTCTTATGCACTTTCCAGTTACAGTTAAGTTCCCAATGTGAGAAAGACCCACAAAAAAGTTGACCTGAAATCCAAGACTGTGCAGAAAGTAAGTTTCTTCAGAACTCACCTCCAGTTCTCCTAGTTCTATTCTCTGCCATACTTATGCACAAGAATAAGGAAAAATGGTTCATCAATCTAATAGTGACAAAAAAACCCAGTCCTGAAACTGCGACCCTACAAAAAGCAGACTGAGCAGGCAATCCCTGTAACTGGAACACTTAGGGAAACTGTCAAGACAAAACACAGCACCTCGTGGAGTGTATATACAGGCAAGCAGCACACCCGCACAAGCTCTGCGAGTCTTTGGAGCCCCAAAGCCATCATTTCTTCTTCAAGGAGAGTGCTCCCCACTCCTAAAACTGAAACGCTCTCATAGTGACAGTTCATTTACTAAACTTTGTTATTCTATCTGAAACACAGGCCCTGCACTACTGCTTCACATTTCAGATGCTCTTAGGCAGCACCTCCCAGTTCTTCCTACATCATTCTGAGAGATCTTAATATTAGCAGCGGCTCTGTATTCTGAAAACATCTTTGGTTTTCTCCAATGCACCTTAAATTAAGCATTCCAGCCTACTAGCTATCTCTCTTTTCATTTCATTTAACTCTAGACAGGCCAACATCCGATACTCTACACAGCTCACAGTGCAGGTATTTTTCCATATGTCAGATATTACAGATTCTTCTATGGCAGCTGCTCATAAAGATTACAAGCAACGTCTTGATAGGTCTCCAGATTATGCTTAGATATGCCTGGAAAGCCTTTACACTGGAATTAATGCATATAGATAGGTTTGCAGGACACAGCTACTGCATTTCCTGATCAACATCAGGTTTACAATTGCATGTCTAATTTTTGTACTTACTGTTCTAATACTTCTAATCCTTACTGTTGTTTACACTTACTGTTCTGCTCAAGTTCCTGAAAGGGGTAAACCATTTTAGGTTAGTCTCAGAAATCATTATTAGTGTTCCTCACTACATATTAGTTTTCAGTCATAAGTATCTTGGTGTTGATTTTCAATCCCACTGATTTTACAGAGGCCTGGAGGTCACTCATTTCAGCCTGCACTTCTCACTCTCAGCAAAAAAATGTCATCAGAAAGGTTAAATTTCTGATATTCTCCTTTCTTGTTTGACTCACACAATATATTACCAATTATTTCTCCTCACACAATATGTTACCAAGAGGAAATTATGCAATGTATACAGTTATTTCAGATTATTTAGTATAAATATATGCAATGGCAGACTAACTGGTATAACAACTTTTCCAAAGCCTTAAGTGATGTTCATATGCTTCTGAGGAACAGCAGAGTAATCCAATGACTTCCACAGATGAATCTGTCCATCTTGTGGATTTCTTAGCTGCCTTTAAGACGTTACATAAACACCTTATTACCTTTTCTACGACTGCTTTATTGAGACAGATAGGCTTATTCTTTGATCTATGTAAATTATTTTCCATCTCTGAACACTAAGCATTTTAGTTATATAGCTGATTATTGTCATTTTCTGTACTTAAAGATAACACAAAAATAGCATAAGAAATATCAAGCATGAATGCCATCTTTAGCTCTCATTAGGGTCCTCCTTTGGAAGATACCCTATTATATATTTTTTTTTTCACATTTTGTGACTTTTTTCCTTGCATTTTTGTAAGGAAACAATCTATCAGTTGCTTTCTTTTCCTGTCCTCAAATATGGTTTAAGGACTTTTATTGGCTAATATATTACCTTTTAATTACTCTCTTTGTTTCTACTCTACTGATGAGTCCTTGTTCAATGTTCAGATTACCTCTTCTTTTTATATCGGGGATTGCCCCTTTCCTCACAGTTGAGCAAATACATTTATCTGTCATATTTTCATTAAGCTGTTGACACTATGCACATGTGTTTTCCTTTTTTACCTGTTACCTGTCCAGAGATGCTACACTATGTCATCGTACAGTTTTAAAGTGTAGGATTGTGGTCATGAGCAGCAATTTTAACTACAAAATCTCCATTCTATTTCCTGATGCTCTTTAACCTCAGTTAACCTAAGAAATATGTAGAGGAAACTTCTACTGTCTTCTCGTTATATGAATCTGCAAAAATATATTATTTCTTTGCACCACCTATCCTTGTTGGATTGTCACCTGTAGTAAAACTTTATTGCTCAGCAGCTTTTGATAAGGCTAACAAAAATAAATTCATTTTAGTGCCATGAACCCAGCCTCTAAAAGGTCAAATAAGCAAAATATTTATCACCTACATAAACCCAGTTGTCTTCAATTATCAGTAACTGATTCTATTCTTAGACATTATCTCTGAGTGCCTCAAGCACTTCAGAATTTGCCCTAAAATTTTGCCAACTATCAATTCTGCTTGCAGCTGAAAGAATGGACAGCCTTTAGCTTGCGTGGATTTAGTAAGAATTTTTCCATACCTGCATGCTCAGGGGGGTTCTCTGAGCCAGGGAAGAGCGAAAGCCCTTCCTCCTCCATCTCAAATACACTTGCCACCCTCTTCCCATGATCCTGTGTGCTGAGTTGAGTGGGACCCATGGAGGCCACACAGGAAGGGCTCACTGTAATCTCATCGCTGCAGCATTGTTTCTGCCAAGCAAGGGGCTGTAGGTGTCTTTCTTCAAGGTCTTTAGTTTTTCTCTGCTACTCAAAGTCAGAAAGGAAGTACCTGTGGAAAAAAAAACAGATGCAAAAGAGGCAAGAGTTCAACTATTGAGATATTAATTTCCAAAATCTATTAAGGGCTGCACCACAAGCAAGCTTCAAGATTTCATTTCCTTAATTAGCTTTGTTTTATCAATGTTTATACTCTTGAAACACAGTATTTGAGCAAACTGTGGTAAAAGGTACAAGATTAGCACACCCAGGTGCAAAACTATCCTTTGATTGCTGAAAGGTTTATCAAAGCAGAAGTCTTCACTATTGCTAACACCACCAGGGCACTTCAGCCCTGACCTCTCCAAGTGTCTAAGAGGGAAATTTCAGACTTTATAAGCAGTGGCCTTTGTTAAAGCTTCTAGTAACAAACAAATAGCTCGTTGCTGCTAGCTGCCCCGGATTTTGTAGTATGTATTGCAGAGCATATAGAAAACTGTACAAGATAATTATTTAGCAGAGACTATAAACACTGAAGTTCCCTATTACTATCAGTAGCCAAAGACTGTGAGAAAGATCGATGATGTATCAAAGACGATAAATCCTCCCTTCACTTACAGGTAATAATTGAAAGCCAGCATCATACCTATAGCAAATGACCATGATGCCACCCTCAGGAATAGATTCACCACCAACCTACTGAGGATAGCTTTTCTGGAACTTAGAAACCATACTGAAAAGCATTTTCATTATACAGCCCAAACTCCACTACAGAACCTGAAACTGCAGAGCAAATCCAATCACTTCTTCCAAAAATCCCCACCTGCACAGAAAAAGGTCCTACTGATTTGACTACACAGACTCAGTGAAACTGATGCAAACTGCTAATGTAAACACCCTTAATCTGATTGAACATGCATTTGATCAGTTGATCTTAACTCAGTGATTTACCAATGCAAGCTAAAGAGATTAACTGGTTTAAAAAGCAACTACGTGAAAGGCCTGTACCAGTTTAACTTGAGTGATTGAGCTCACGACTGGAAGCCTGTCACTCTCTGAAAGACGAGAGGTGACAGAAAGCTCTGCAGCAGCTCAAATACAAAAGTATCAGGTAATTAGGGGCATGCCTAACACACTGCAGTGCTGACCATCAAGAGGCAGAGGACCCACCATCTAACATCCCTTCTTCCCTCCTGGATATCTGGACCAGACCATGCAATTTTTCTTAGAACGCCAAAGACAAGGATGAAAGCAATGCTTCCACAAACCACCCCCCTCCCAGTACTCTAAACCAGTCATTAAGTATAAAAGCAAGTCATACTGTCAAGCCTGCTGAGCTCCTGCCATCTCCCATTACACTGTGGATGCAGGTGTTAAAACCCACAGGGCACATTAATTCACGTGACCTTTGTAAATACAGCCTCAGACTGTATAAGCAATCCAGAGCTCCCTCCTCCCCTTTGGTGCACGCAGCCACTGAATTGCTGGGGAAAGAAAGAGACTATCTAGGACAAAAGCATTGACAGCAAATATGAAACTCAAAGCCATATAAAGGAAGAAATTCTGCCGTGGGAGGCTACAGTGTTGATTGATTTGCAACCAATTCAAAGAGACTCGTGGTCCTCAAAGGAACAATGTGGCTATCACAACCAACTTTTTTTTTAAAAAGTCTCCCCAGAAAATCCTGCAGCAGGTGAGAATCTTGGAGAGGCACAGAACATCAGATGAAGACAGGAACTTCACTGAAAAAAACCCACACCCGAGTTGTATTCCCAGTCCTATGTAAGCTCCTCACTGATGCCAATATCAGATGTCTCCAGATATGTTTGGGCATGAAATAAGAAAGGTAAGCACACTGCCTATGTTCATCTCCACATTCCTGTAAACCATGCAACAGACTCACTCAAAGATTAATTATTGTGCAGAATGAATCACCAGCAGCAGTACCACAGCAATTTTTCAAAGGAAGAGTTTGATGCCCCAGCTGAGGAACTGAATGACAGTGCTCAGGCCCCACCGCCTTCAGTTCAGTCACCCAGTCTTAATGCATCCCAGCCACAATGGCAATGTATTCCAGAAAAAAAAACCGGGAGAGTACAGTTTGATGGAATTTCAAAACTGTGTGATCCACACAACCCTGACTGACATTGCAAGAGTGAAACTTGCTGTCAGCAAGACATCTGGAGCCCAAAGGGTGCATCTAAGAGACTGCAGACATCCTGAGAAGTCTGCAGCTACCAAGAGGGAAGGGAGTATAAATTCCTGTGCATATCCAGGACACAGCAAGGGGTAAGGCCTACCAGCCACTATCTCCGTGCTGTAAAACAAACCCACGTGTTCCTGCTTCATGCACCAGCCTCCAGCCTTCCCAAAACAGAATGGGCCAGATAGGAAAGGTTGCTTGTCTTCTCTGCTCCTAAGACACAGCGTCTTTTGGTTTTGTAGGTGCAGTAACAGTTGCAGGCTGTGGAAAACTGACCTAACTACAAACAGCAGCACTCTAGTGCTAGGTAAAGAAACCTAAACTACCATTTTCCACACATGTACACAAGTGAGAGGTTGTATAACTAGACCCGGGACTTAATTTTGACAGAAATGCATGAGGATTGTTTTAAAATGACGAGAAATCTTGTCAAGTTTTGTACTAAGAATCGTGTTATTAGAGATTCGCATCTTCCGATCTGCACCACCACTTCAACTAAAAATGCAGAAAGGTGATGCAAGCCATAACTACAAGAGGGAACACTGTCTTCTTGACATAATCTGCTATGCTGCCTCCCACTGTCTGTCTCAACTCCTTCGGTTTTAGAACTCAGGACTGGCCAAGTGACAAGAAATGAAGCAATCACTTCTAATCACTTCAGAGTCTTGAACAGAGGAACCTGATGACCAGACATATGCCAGTGAGGAAACACATAGAGGGAAACAATTTTCTGCCAGCCCTTGCCACCCATGTATCAAATATGACACTAAACACTTCTGAAATGTGTCGCCACCAGCCTTGCTCTACTCCATTTCTTCCCTTCTTCCCTTCTTTTGAGACAACTGAACAACACAGATACTGATGGTCTCCAGATCAGCACTCTTGCATCAGAAAGTACTGCTTTTTTCAGAGACTAAAGATGGCAGCCCTGGCTCTTGTACCTCATGCTAAATGCCAGAAACACTCATCACTCCCTCCAGCAAGTCTCATCCCATTCTCTCAGCTGGAGTCCTCTTCCAAGCCAGATGAAGCACTTATGCATTCTTCTGGAAGTCTTTGATCTGATCTGTCATCAACAGACACAAAGCTACAGAATATACCAAACTATTGTCCAACATTCATTGAGGATAAGTAAAGGAGATAGCATTGACCAGCACAGCACATAAAGAAACCAAATAAGCCAGATGTAGTTACTGTGACACTTCCACTAAACAGTGCTGTCCTCTCCCTGTATTCCTTGTTTGGTGCCTTCTGTGAGAAGTTTAACAATCAGGAATCAGACCAGATGCAAGCATATCTCTGAAGAAACCGTGCTATGGAACACAGGAATAATCAGAGGAATAGTACAACGAGCCCTTTACCTCCAAATACTGGATGTTCAGATGAAATAGAAGATTTTTAGGAAGTTTGTTCAAGTCTCTGGGATCTTTCAAAACAGGATTTACTCATCACAGTCCTTGCCCTATAAATTACAATATCCAACAGTGTTCTGTCAAGGGAAAAATATATGGCTACGTTTCAGTTCTGTAATGAATCACAAGCATACATCTTTTGCTCTGCAGCATGTCAGCATCAGCAGAAGAGACCTTACATTTGTATACATATGTTAATATGACTGTGCTTGCTGTGTGTCAACAAGACTGTGCCTTTGTGCATGGGCTGTTGGCAAACAAATGCATCTGACAGGAAGGACTATCTTTCAGAGGTAACCAAATCAGGGATATAAATTGGTATTTTGGATTCTAAATGTATTCTAACATGCAATACGAGTGCCAGCCCCCAGTGTGAATCAACGTCTGAAAGCTGGGCCCACGGCAGCGCATAATGGGCAGCGCATAATGGCCTCTGCTGGAATCAACAACTCACACAGTGATGGCACTACCTTGGGTATCAAATGCTGGCTGCAGATCTAAATGGCCAAGAAAAAACACCCACCTGTTGCACTGAGATTTTACAGGACACTACAGCACCAGCACAAAGCTAAGCCCTTTGGAAGACGCCGCTGTTCCAATCCTTTCATAGGGAGTAAACATATTTTGTGACCCAATGCTCTTCCTATACTGTGTCTGGTGTAGCAGCCAGAGGATTTTCACAAATCTTCCCTAGGGTCTTGGTACTACCTTGTAGCTGTCTCAGAGAAACAAAGATTATTCCCAGTTCAGGTTGGCTCATTCTTCTTTGTTCCCTCTGCATCATCACATTTCTCTAGAAACACTGGAACAGATAGAGGGGCTCTGAACAGGGCAAAAGTATACATATAACAAGTTTCAATTAGGAAAAAGTTGAAAGAGATACACCTTTCAAGACAGAAAAAGAATCTGTCACTTTGAAAATTAAGTAATATTACATGTGAAAACTGTTGAAATTTATGAGGAAAAACAATCACCTTCAGGTTGCCAACAGGAGGGACAAAACATGAAAATGCAGGGTGTGCAAAGCAGTGCAACAGGATACCATAAAGAATGATTTTGAACAGTATGTTTATGAAGAATGGGAAAAACAGTTCTGCAACCCTCAGGGAACAGACTAGCTCTGTGCCCCTGCTGTAAATCCCTCTCTACAGAGAACTGAAGGGACACAGTTTGAAATCGCATTATCCATTTTGATCTCTCAGAAGCATAAAGACAACCACAAACTGGAAGAAGTCTGTAAGCCACCATCAGTCCCAAGCTGAAAAGCTTCGGCCTCCTGATTGCTTTCATTTGTTGTCCAGCTAAGCTTTAGCTGACCATGAGCAGCTGCCCAAGCTTGTAGCACTGGTCTGTGAGCCTTTTGAAGTTGTTGCCACCTCTGACAATTACGCAGAAGAGTCCTAGAAGTCAGTCCTGGCTGCGCAGCCTGCTTCCCAGGGATGGGCAGCTGCATTCTAGTCTCTTGCCCTCAGTTTAAGGGTCTTATTCCCACTTCTCCCACTGGCTCTGAGTTTCAGAGCCTGCCCTCCACCCCCACCCCACTCTGGCTTTTACTCCTGCTGCTGACCAACTCCTTTATTACCCATGACTTTGCTGACTTTTGGCATGGCCTTTTCCTACACATTTGTCTCGTCCTTTGAACTGGGTTCTCACTGCA